TTTGACTTCACGACTTGACACATTAGAAAACTTAAACTTGCTACGACAAGGAGCTTGGAGCTAGCATCGTGGGTAGCACGGTCATCTTCAACAACAAAATATGTCTTCACCAGCTAAACCATTTTGTAGAATTAAACAAAAAATCCATAAGAATTAGCGGTTGTTTGCTTAGGCAAACATAAATCCTCAATTTATCTTTAGGCCTTTGTATATATCTGCTATGCAATTTAATCCCTAACCTACTTTAGGATTCCGAGGTTGTCGTCTGTCACGACCTAAATCCTCACATCTTCCAGGCTATTTGTGCGATCATTTCACACGAATATAAGCCCTAAATAATAAAATTGGCAGGATGAAACATTTAAATATTTCTCCTCTAAATTGAAGCCAAACCATGGGATAGCTTGGGAAGTCACCAAGGTTCTCCTCTGGATCTATGACATCCCCTAATTCTTCCTCCTTTAGATTTCAAAATAAAATGTTCCAAACTTGAGTCATTCCCCTTTCACACCACTTTGTCCAATCATATTGAAAAGTCCTAATCCTTTAACCTCTTTGAAGATAATATCCCTTGATTTTTATCGAGATTTTTCTTAGGTAACTTTGGTTATCTAGGATGTAATTAACAATAGGGGCTTACCCTTATAGGAAGCATTTCTGAACCCAGTTTAATATAAACCCTATTTAATCCTTCATGGTAAATAAGGAAATTTTTTGGCTTGTAATAAAAAATGGTTTCGCAGACTTAAACAGATGTCATACAATCTTTAGTTTATTTAATCAAGCCTTAATTGAGCCTTCACTAGTAAGTAATGTATCTATCCTTCAGGATAGATGCACTACTTGCAGTATTAGGCTCCTTTATTTAAGCTATTGGGGATATGAGATCGGTTCGGTCTTGTATTTTCAAAAAATTAAAATACTATTTTTTCTAAATTATATATGTCTTAAATTAAATTAAAATGGGTGTTAGGATATCCATCCTAGCAGCCGACAACTTAAGAACTTCCAACTTTTTAATACTGATAAAATCCAAAATGGGCATCTCTCATTTTGCTTATGCAGATGCAATCATGCTGTTTCCCAAAGCTAACAAAGTTGTTGTTAAGAAGATTTTCCTTTACCTTCAACTCTTTCAACAACACTCTGGGATGCAATTCAATGCCAAAAAATGTGACCTGCTGTTTAGTGCTAAACTCACCCCCAACACTAAGCAATGGATCCTCCAATACACTGGTTGTAATTAATCCTCACTTCCCTTAAAGTACCTTGGTGTGCCACTCAATAAAGGTAGATATAAACAAGTCCAATATGATGGGGTGCTAGGGAAAATTGAAACTCAGCTCTCTTGTTGGACTCACCTGTCTTAATGGGGGCAGAATTACCTTGTTAAAAAGCGTCCTGACCACATTCTCCTCCTATATAATACAAATGAAAGCAATGAAGAAAAGCACTCAACTTCAATTGGAATGGAGTTTTAATAGGTTTTTGTGGTCTAGAAAAAGACAACAATTACACTGGGCTAGCTGGAAAAAATTTGCTAATCCCAGTTTAGTTGGGGGTCTTGAGTTTAAGGGGCTCCAACACTTGCAGCAGATCAATATATGTAAACTTTGGATCAATTTCAAGCATAAAAAATCCTTATGGGCCAAGTTTATGTATGACAAATACTACAGGGACTCTCATCCTAATTCTAATTTGGTGACATGGAAATTGGGGGACTCTAAATTTTTGTTCAACTTGTTGAAAATCAGACAAAAGGCTGAGAATCTTTTCCTTTAGGACCATGGTAATGGAAATGTGCACTTCCGGCTTGACAATTGGTGCCCTACAGACTTGCTGGTTCATAAAACCCTTGAGCTTAACCCCAACTTAAAAGTGGTTGACTGTTGGATTGGAGACCAATGGTCTGAACTTATTATGCATACTCTCCTACAGCCTTCTTCTGCTGAGAAAATATTCAGGGTGCATTTTGACAGATCCCTTCCTAACCAGCTTATTTGACAGACAAGCACCACTCAGAGCTTAACTAACAACATCTATTCCAAACTTTACAGCCGGAACATTGTACCTTGGCGGGTACTTTTCTGGAACAAATTTCTCTCCCCCTCAATGTCCTTTCTTTGCGGGAGAATCTTCCACAAATTGTTTCCCACTGCTGATATACTCAAGCTGGAAGGACTTAGGGGACCTTCTAGGTGTGGTTTATGCTTCACTGCTCAAGATTCCATTGATCATCTGTTCTTTGAATGTCAGTTCTCCCAAGATGTTTGGCTGGAGTGCTTAAAACACCTGGTGTTGGATACTCTTTATTTGGATTGGTTGCACCTCTCTTCCTGTTAGATTAGCCGGCATGCTGTTGGGCTTGGGTCTATCCCCTTAATTATTGCTTGGTTTTTGTGGATGGCCAGAAATCAGGTTAAGTTTGAAGACCAGTCTATCTCTAAAGTTAAAGTGGCAAGAAATTGCATTTCTTTCCTCATCAAGCTTATCAAGCACAAGAGGTTCCCCAACATCTGCTCTATTACCCGTATAGAGAGCCCTCTGATCCCGATATTTTTTATATGTAAGGATTTATGAAGTTGACACCACTACTTGAAGATTTTAATCCCTGGCAACGATGCCAAAAACTTGATCCCGAGAAAGTAAAATTTATATAAGTATAGGCAATTAATAATGAGATTCTATGCAAATATACGTATCGTTATCAAGTAATAATGAACTTTCTATTTAAGCCCCAAATATTGATTCTATGGGAAAGGCTTAAATTTGAGATGTTAAATTAACTAGAAAATTCACAAAAAGTAAAACGAATGTTGAAATATTATCAAAACTAAATTACTTCACTATTAGATAAACATAAATGCAAAGCTTAAACAATAACTACTAATCTATTAAACTATGTTTATATAAAGATGATTTCTTATGTGAAAAATCATCTCTCCCACTACAATGAGGTTTTGATGAAATGAGATGAGATGAATGTTTATAATATGTATTGTGCCAAATAGGAGTAGTTTTAATTCTCTACCATGATACAGTGTTATAGAAAATCATTGGCTGACCTCAGGTTTAGTCCCTAAATCTGTGGCTAAGCTAGAAGGATACCGGCTCCCACACT